TCACCGAGATCAAGTTCCCCACTACTTCATACTATGATTCCATATGGATCCAGAGTCAGAGTGGTCGAGTAGGTAATATGGCTGACTTTGTGATTAACTGCGTTAAGATCTGCTTTGTTTCCTGAGTTATTGTACAATCTCAAGTTGTCTAAAGCTTAGTAATCTCTTGCATCATAGAACTCCCCTGGCGGATCTTATAGCCATCAAAGTAGAAGGCTGCCGGAACAGAGACGCATACCATTTCAACAAGACCCAGCAATGTCCCAGCCCAACTCAATCCCAGCGTCCCGTACATTGATGGCCCAGCAAGCGGCAGACACGCGCCCATTATACTTCTGAGCACCATGTTCCCTGCTAACGCTGATGCTCCGTAGATGCCATAGGACTGAGCCATGTAATTGTCTGCGTAGATGAAAGTGCAAGCGTTTCCGGCACCGTATGAAACACCAGCAAGAATGGGAACGATCCAGTGTGTTCCAGGTCGGCATGTCCAGGCGAACCATAATTGGCCAACTGCTAGCAGGACGACACTTATGCATACGATGCTGACTCTGGCTTCGGGCTTGACATTGCCCGTGGCCGGGTTTTTCGGATGAAGGTTGACGATGCGGCGAAGAAGAGGCTCTGCCGCAATGGGAATGAGAGTGCCACATCCAATCCCCAGAAACGCCAGTCCGCCGATCCCTAGCGCCTAGCCTCGTTCCTGCTGAAATGCAATCGGATAAGCGACGAAGCAGAGATAGAGAGTCGCGTAAACAATGCCGATGTATGTGTTCCAAAACATGCTATTGACAGTAAGCCAATCAAGACGTAGATGAAATTTCTCAATCGCTGAGAAGTCGGTATAGGTCGACTTACCAGATCGGCTCGGTGCACATCATCTTGAGTGGGCGGTATGAATTGATCTTCAGCAATGGCCAGAGCCCTTGCCCATGATCGTAGCGTGTCCACCACCTATCGTCTCCGGTTGCCTAAGACTTTTCGGCGGCTCGTCTCTTCAGCAACACGGAAGCGTAAGTCTCTTCAAAGAGTCTAAAAAGACAAAGGCCACACTTCCAATGATCAAGACGATCCAAATGCGTCCATCTCCAACCCTTATGTTGATAGACGAAACCACCGATCAATGGCCCGTAGACGGGCCCGTTCGCCGGGCCTATGGACCAAAACCCTGAAGCAAGTGCGCGGTGCTTGTCTGAAACGATGTCGTTGACGGTGGCGGGCGAGTTCGACATCATGGTGCTGTCAAAGAACCCTCCGAAAAACCGAGTGGCGATAATGGTCGCGATGCTCTCAGCCAGGGCGCTCGGCAAGACGAGTGCCTGAAACGCTGCCATGGATGCGATGTAGAGCGGTCGCCGGCCGAGTGATTCGCTCATGGGCGCGACGACCAGGCTTCCGGCAGCCATTCCGAGCAGGTATGTGGTGAGACCTAGGAGTGCGACAAGCTTGGAGACGTGAAATTCTGCTTGCAGCCCGGGGATCCCAGAGGTATAAAGAGTGCTGAACAGGCTGACTACGGTGGCATCGAGGCTAACCGTAGTGACGGTAAAGGCCTTGTACCATGTAGGCCATGAGCGAGGGCCCTGCATTTCTCCACTGTCCCATTTCACTTCAAATTCAATTCGGGAGCTCGATCGAGGTTGGGTACACACCGGTTGAACGGCGGTGTCTTGTTGGTGTTGGTGGCATAGGGAGTAGCCCCCAAAGCAGGATCCGTGGCTGTCTCGTGTAGGTTGAGTTCATAAACCGGACTTTGTTGACCCGATTCGTGTATGCGATCTATGGTATCCATGCTCCATAGCACTTAACAACCAACACGGTTTCCCAAGATTGTGCGAATGACCTAGACGGGAAGGTTAGAATTGAAATTCGTGCCGATGAACGGTGCTCCTGAGTGAAAGTTTTGGCGATGAGTAAAGACGGACTGCATTATGTTCCATGCGGTGGTCAGTAGGATCAAGGAACTTCTATGTACAAGCCAGAATTGAGTCCGGAACATGAGCATGTCGGCGAGTGGAAGATACGGTGACAGACTCAAATTGATCACTACAGTCCGTCTTTTTCTTTTCTAAATTACTGGCGTTTTTGCCTCATGATGTATACCGGCGTTTCGAACTCACAGCATCGTCAACATCTGTCGAGACCGAGAGATGACCAAATGCTTGTTGCAGGTTCTGTTCGACCATTTCAAGTGATAGAAAGTTTATAAGCTATCCAGAATATGCTACTACATGAAGGGACTCGTTGTTGCTAGTCAGATAATTTCAACTGCAACTCCTGGCTTCAACCACCTGACCTTGTCATTAACACCCTCATCTTTGAAATCCTTCGCTAGTCCCTCCTCAAACTGAGTGAAGTGACCCCACGACTTGTCGTAGTGCATGGGCACTAAATGGTCTGCCTTGATCTCTCGGAAAAGACGAGCCGCCTGCTTGCCGTCCATGGTGATTTGCAGCGGCGCGTGCCTGTCCGGAAACTGCACGTGGGCGGAACCGAGATTCATCATGACAATGGGAACGTGAAACTTGTCGGCAATCTCGGTCAACTCGTCCATGTAAACCGTGTCGCCCGTGAAATAGATGGCGTTCGGCAGTTTGTTCGGTCCAATCCCAAAGTCGTCCGACGACAGCAAGAATCCAATGCATTCACCGCCGGGTAGGTGCTGGCACGGGGTGGCCGTGATGCGGAAGACCTTTCCGCCGATACGTCTCTCCACGGTTGTCCATGGCTCCATGCCGACGACCGCCGGGCGAGGAGCGAGGTTCTTGGCTCCGTCCACGGTCGTGAAGACGTGCCGGCCATCGAGGAGCCGGCGGCCCAGCTCGTCGAGATTGTCGGGGTGGTCTTCGTGACTCAACAGCACTGCATCGATGGGAGGAAGCTGGTCGAGCTTGAGGGCAGGATCTTCGGTGTTCTGGAGGATAGTGATACCCATGTCCCAAGTGGTGCCTGCTGGGGAAAAGAAAGGGTCGGTCAAGAAGCGCACGCCATCGATATCAAGGATGGCCGTCGCAGTTCCAATGTGAGTGATGCTCACTCTGGGCTTGAAGTTGATTCTGGAAGACATTGTCGAAGGTTTGATGGAAATCTCGGTCGTTGTAACGTCTCGAGAGGGGCTGTTGGTAGATGATGCGACTGAAGGTAGAAGCTATTGCGTAGTGTCGTTGTCGTTCATCTTCGTTGGAATAAGTGTTTCAAAGTCTTCCTTATATGTGGAAGGCTATATGCTGTATAAGTTCCGATGCCTTTCGGGGATTGGGAAGAAGGCTTTCTCACGTCTGATCAACCCAAGATTTACAACTGGCAAACACGATTCAGCAGTAGACATTTTGACAAATCCATGTAAGACGCCGATTACCAACCTAAATGCATACAATGATTGGTAAGGTAGTCCCTTCAGAGATACATGTAGATAGCACTTTTGACATGGTTTGGCCTGTGGGCTTGACAACAACAACGCTAAAGTCAATTTCCTTTCATTGGAATGAGTTCATCTTGAGATGCGTAGGGAGAAACTTCAAAAAGGCGGAATACTTGAATTTGATGCCGAACTATTTGGAATGTCTGTTTGTTGTAGCATCAACTGGGAATCATGGTCACATTCCATCACTAATCAGCAGGAAGGATTTGTCAGTTGTAGAAGCCTGGAGATGATCAAGCTTAGAAACAATAATCCTTGATTGCGGATGGGCCGACATTGAGTCACGAGCTTGACTGTCATCGTAGTTGCAGGACGAGTAGCGGTAAACGAGGCGTTCCTCCATAACACCTCTGCGCTTGACCAGAATAGGATTCATAATTCGCCAAGACATCTCTAATCCGGCGTCATTGCAGACATTGGTGGCTTCCGATTGGTCATACCTCATCTGTTCGAGGCCCCTCGATCGTTCTCCATCATCTGGGGATCTCTTGTCTTGGCGGCTTATGATACCTTGTTTGGCCTAGCGCCATCCACTGTAGACCCCTTGTACACTAAGACACCGAAAGCCCGGAACCTTTCTGTACGAATATATGACCCAGAAGCCAGCGACAATACAAGTCGCCAGACGATTAGCAACATCATCCGCTCACATCACCACTCGTACAACGCCTTCTTCAGATTTCTTTCCAGAGTTTCGCGGCGAACGAGACAATCACCATGGCGTCTGCAGCAGTATCGATGCGTTCCATGCTCGGCGTGCCAGCGTCTACAACCTCCACGAGCGACAGCATCCTGGTCATTATCGACGCTCAGAACGAGTACGCAACCGGCAAGCTAGCAGTCTCAAACGTCGAAGCATCCCGAACCAAAATCGCCTCTCTGCTTGAGAAATACCGCGCCGCAAGGGCTCCCGTCATCCACGTCGTCCACGAAGTGCCGGCCGGTGCCCCCCTCTTTACTCCCGGCACCGAGCTCGCCGAGGAATTTTCAGAGCTGAAGCCGCTCGAGGGGGAAAGTGTGGTCGCCAAGAATTTTCCGGGCTCCTTCACGGGTACGAACCTGGAAGAGTTGCTAAAGGCTACTGGAAGGAACAAGGTGGTTTTGACTGGATACATGGTACGATGATTTGTTATTGGACGAGAAAGGCGCTCGGTGGAAGAAAGTGTTACGAGAGACTAACTTTTTTTTCCTTCGGCAGGCGCACGTTTGTATCTCGACTACTGCTCGACAGGCGAGTGAAAAGGGGTGGGACGTGATCGTTGTGGAAGACGCCGTCGGTGACCGCGATATCCCTGGGGCAAATGCTGAGGATTTGACAAAGATCGCGTTGGCTGGAATTGCGGATGCATTCGGTACTGTGGTGAAGAGCAAAGATATTGCATAGCGCTTTGCCATTAGGCCAGATATTTCTGGTAGGGCGAGCAGCGCGTTGTTCATTCCTATCATTGGATATCACTTGGACCGTTACTCTCGTCGTTGCCGTCGTCGTCCGTGCTGTGCTGCCATTGTCGTCCTTGCTATGCAACCATAATTACGTCTGCCATAACATAAGCTGATGAGGTCTACTGTAGACCAAATGTTAACCAAGAAGCACTGTCCGCCTGTGCAATAACACATCCTCATATCCTTGTTGGCGTATAATCTCAGCATTTCTTGCCAACTGCTCACAAATGGCCCCATCACTGCACCCAAACATTTCCAACGCACCCCTCGCAATGTGCAAAGGAAAGAACGCAGATGCTGTGCCATAGAGTTTCATGTCCTCCTGCATCAAATAGCCTGTACTCTCAAGGATATAAGTTGCGAGCTGGAGAACCTTTTGGGTCGCCGCTTCACTTGCGGGGTATTCTCCGACTTTCAGAAGACAATCTTGTGAGATGTTTGGATGGTGTGCTGTTAATCGTTGGATCTGGGTGACGCAAATGATCCAGAACGCCCAGTAGTGACTCAATGAGTTGGCCACGGTGATATTTGGGAAATCGAGGCTGGTGGTATCGGCTGGCGAGACCTTTTGTAAATTTGTAAAGCCTCTCATAGTCATCATGTTTGCTGACTTGTGCCAAAGGTCCAGGCGGTTGATAACGTCCACAAACCGGATCACGGCTTCGCGGGCGGCAGGTTCACTATCGTCGTTACAGTGATCAAGCATTTCGAAAATAGCGGGTATGGCGCAGGCCTCACTCAAGAGAGCTTGGAGCGGGTCTTCGACTACACGCCTAAACGGCTCTTCTTTCCACTCAGGCGCCCCGAGAAAGGTCGATTTCCGAGTTTCAAAAGCATGGAGAATCTGGGATATATTAGCACAGGTAAGGTGATGAATACAGGCTGTCGTACTAGAATTGGTCTGAAGCCAACGAAGAGTTTGTGGGGTGTTCCAGATGCGTAGAATTGCGGCGGGCGGAGTTGAATTAGCTCACCGATGCCCCTTGCGTGGACTGTCGCTGCAGAGCTCGATGTGGGAAAGAATTTCTGGGACGGTCTTGTGTGAGTAAAGGTACCTACAAGAGACCGAATAGAGACGAAGCATCTCCTACCTCTGACAGGAACAAGCACATAATGGCTGCAGATATCTCGGTATAGTTGTTCGGATCATCATTGGCGCGTGGAATGAGGCACCCTACAGCCTTGAGCGCCGAGGAGTGCGCTTCAATGGCTTCGTGGACAGGAGCTCGCCCCTTGGGGCCTCTGGCCATCAGTGAGATCCCCAGAGCTTTGATGGCGGAGGATAGAGGTCCGTCATGCCTCCCATCTGTACCGACGATCCCCGGCAGAACTTCCACCCATGCTCCGCATATTCGAGACTGTGAAGGCTTTGAAGTGCTGGACATCGAACCTAACTCGTTGGCAGGGACAAAGTTTTGTATGCACATTGAGAGTACGTCGCTGAGTGGCCAAGTCAAGGCCCGAGTCGGAGGTTTCGGCCTCTGACTTGCGGGATTGGGTGTCCTGCTTTGACGAGTCCGCTTCTTCCGCTGACCGGAAGCGACCGAGCCTGGTGATGAGGGTTGACGAAATACAATGTGTTTCTTGTACCCTGGACAACTGAGGCCAGAGAAGACACACTGAGAGCAGCATGGCTGCTTTCCGTCGCACTGCCAAGCAGAGCGTCAGTCAGGTCGTCATCATACTTTTGCGGGGCTCTTACGCCAAGTTTTCGTCTTCTGCACTCATCGCAGACTGTAAATTGTTTGGTCTTCATATCTGGTCAGTGCCGTAGCCAGACATTGTGTGGACACCAATCGCCGCCGTCACAAATATGCTGGTCTCGGTCCACGATAATGGAGGGCGTAGTCTTCAGCGCTGCGACGGGGGTTGTTGGGCCTTTTGTGTTCGGGGGTTCGCATCCAGCATTGACCACCAACGGCGTTCGGTTACGGCCCCCCACGTGGCGCTAAGGAGCTGTTGGGTTGCCGGCTTTGGCCCGGGTCCGGATAGAACTTCTTAGTAAAAGAGACATGGTACGTCTTACATTACATATGTTCAATCGTCTGAAGATGAAAATAATGCAACATCTTTGAAATCGTTCATGTGGCAACACTCCCTGGTTAATGTGAGTTGGAAATAGCCTTCGGACGAACACCCACACCAAGTTTGCCAAGTAGATATGGGAAGACGGTGCGGACTTCATCTACTTCATCACAACCACCAGGCCTCATCGCCGTTTTATTCTCATCCAGATGGGAGTGAGGCAAAGTCAATCAAGGTAGTTACACATGAATAAGGCCAGACGAAACAAACGTGTGTTGTTAACCGTACGTGCCTTTCACACATTCATGGCCCGCCTACCTTACGCCTTCCTCGCCTAAGGCGTTGACCGGACCTTCCCGCAACCGTACCTTCCCCCTCCCACCCTCATCAACCACAAGGTGTCTTCTACACGTGACACACCACCTCACCGCCCGTCACGAGGCTGGAAGGGTATATACGCCCCCTCAAACCCATTCCCGTCACCAGCCAGCAGGCGCCCGTCTAGGTCGACGGGTCAGGTCAAACTGGCTGGGTGGTGGAGTGGTTTATGGTCGACAATCTTAAACGCCAACCAGCCTACTCGACGACAGGCTTAGCGATCGAGTTCGAGTCCCGGTATGAGCACCAAGAGATGTAGCCCCCAATCGCCACCGGGGGGGTGAACTCTTTTTACTAGATGTGGCTAATAAACTTACTTTGCTTTGATGCTAGCATGGTTGTACGGTATCTTACATTGGAATTGTAGTCAGCTGATGTAAGGGGATAGACGTTTGGTATTTGAGACTCCAAGACATGGTCTATATTGTAGATCTACCCATCAAATCTATGACCTGTTTGCTCCTCATCTAGGTACCTTATCCAAACCTCATTCACGTTCATTCATTCCTTCATCCATCATCAAACTCCCCTCCCATCTCCCACCTTTCAAACAGAGTAATCCAACTTCTTATCCCCCATCACCCCCCAAAACTCCTCCACAAGTTCCTTCTGCCCGCCCGGAGCCCCCCTCACGGCAAGATACACCCTCTCATCAACAGCAGGCTCCCACACCCCCGGATTCCCGCCCGCCATGATGCCTCCCGCCTCGGTCAGGATACACCAACCCGCACACACGTCCCACGCCCAGCACCCGCCCTCCCAATACGCATCCAGCTGTCCCGCCGCCACGGCAGCAAGATTCAGCGCCGCGGAGCCGAGGGCGCGCATGCTATGCACCATCGCACCGCCCGTCTCCTTCGTCGCCGCCAACTTCTTGAACGTCTCGGCCTTCAGGTCGAAGTTGGGTCCGTCGCGGGTAGATCCCCACTCGCACGCCAGCAGCGCCGAGTCCAGGCCTTTCAGGGGGATGGGGTTCTTGGCGAGTGGCAGTTTCTGTGCTGGACCACCGGCGCGGCGCATGTAGCTCCCCTTTCCCTTGATGCCTGTGAACAGGAGGTCCTGGAAGGGGTTGTAGATTACGCCGACGACGGGAATGTGGTTGACGGCTAGACCTAGAGAGATGCAGGCATCGGGAAAGGAGTGGACAAAGTTTGTGGTGCCGTCGATGGGGTCGACGACGAAGGTAGGTTCGGGGCCGAGGCGGGTTCCTTTTGTGTAGGTTTCTTCGCCCATGAAGGCGATGGTGGGGTAGCGTTGGGAGAGGCGGGTGGAGACCATTTTCTCGACGGCTTGGTCTGTTTCGGTTACGATGTCGACGGCTGTTTTGAGAGGTGGTGGAAGAAGTTAGTCCAGATCTTGCGGCTTGTTTGAGAGTATTGAGGGTAGGGGGGAGGACGCGTTTCAATGGATGTAGGGGTGAAGGGGTAGGATGAGGGACTGCATACAGTTCAGCTTGGTGTCCTGGTCAATCGAGGCCGGGTTCGCGGACATGATCATCTTGCCCGCCTCGGTCGCGATCTCGAGGAGGGTGTCGTGGATTTCTTGGAGGTTGAGGTCCGCCATCGTGTCCTGTCGTTGGTGGTGACTTTATGGATCTGTACAGCTAGCGAGCTATAATCGCCTAGTGAAGAGCAATCGGGACGTATGAAGAAATCCAATTGAGGACTGAATCAATTGGCGACTTTGTAGACGTCTTGTGTACTTTGAAAAGGAATGCTTTACAAGATGGAGGTTGTCGATCAATGTTTTAGCAAGCTCCAAATGGGGAGGTCTTTTTTTGGAGGGGCAGAAGATGGGAGGAGGGGGTAAATCGGAATGAATGGCGGGGTGGTTTGGAGGGGAAAGACAGGAATGAGGTCACAAAAAGTTGGTCCAAGTTCCAACGGTTCACTGTGGGGAGAGCGGGCGGATCTCACTCTCTGCCCACTCCCATGTGTTCTTCAGCTCGGCGCGATTGGAGCGCACCCAGGTACTCCGTACGGTACCAAAATACCTTATATCACCTGAGCTGAGTGGTCACCGATATTCCCGACCCACTCCGGCTCCCATAGAGCTCGGAAGGCGGTCTCCCACCGACCGGGCTTTCTCGGCGGGACACTGCGCCGGTAAGCGAGGAGCGGATGTACCGCAGCGGGGGACAATGGCGCTTCGCCGACGGAGTATGCGGCCGGGGGGCTCCCATTAGATGAACGACCGACATAATACGCGCAGGCCATCCACGCTTTACCTGACCTTACCATATATGAGGGATTTCTCAGTATCGGTCATGTCTCGTAAAGTCGTCACCTAATCAACTGGTGGAGACCCGGTCGACTCATCATTTCCCCCGGAGGTTTTTCCATCAAATTTCTTGGCCGACGGCTCCGGCGGGATACCGGGAAACGGGCATGCTAACTTTTCTCTTCCCCCAAAGGTTAGTAGTACACATTGGGAGGGTTTTTCCCTGGCGGTTCAACCTGTTCATATATTCTACCGCGCCAAAAAAGATGGAATCAGGCGAGAAAACATGGAGAATAGAGGTTATAAAGCAGAGCCCAAACGCCTTTGAATTCTCACAAGACAACCATATCTTGCCCATTTCCCAATCGTGACATGTCCCGGAGACCCAGTTCCTCCCACTTTCCCGGCCCGCTTTCCGTACGGATGCTCGTTACGCGTTGCCCTCCCGAAGAAAACAGACAATTTGCCCTCTTCAACTTCATCTTCAACTTCCCTCCGCTGCTTCTTTAAAAACTCTTGTCTAGTTTCTCATCTTTGTGCTTTGCGGTCTCATTGACGGGAAATTTCACAATCGGGTTTCCGAGCCTGCGCTACCGTATCATACGTTCTCCCGGAAGATCGACCTCCGTTCTGTCGGGCTCTCGCCGCTGTCCTTTTTCTGTTGTTGCTGCTGCTGTTGCGGCGCACCCGTATCGACAATCGGCCGGGGGCTGACGCCGCGCAAGCTGATGTTGCTCGGCTCAGCGTCGTCCTCGAACGGATTTCTGCCGCCAGCCTTGTGGACACCTAGACCGCCGTCGTCATCCCGGCTGAGGCTGCGGCCCCGCGCCGGCTCATCGTGGGGGTTGGGAGTCGAGGCAAGGTTCATGCTGTAGCTGTTGTCGTTGTGGCCGCCGCCGCGGTACCCCAGCTCCTGCTCCTCGTAGTTTCCATAAGGACCGTAGGTCTCGGCCTCATGGCCCACGCGCGCATCCCACGCCTCATCCGGATCGAGCGGTCCGAAGCCCCGGCGCGGTGCACCAGCACCGCCCGAGGGCTGCTCGTAGGCTCCGGCGGCAGAGCGGTTGTTGCGGTTCTTGAAGGAGGTGATCTTGTCGTTGATCCAGCCGGCGATGCCGCTCGGCGCAGGGCGCGGGGGTCCGTATGACGGCGGCGGATCGGATTTTCGGAAAGGTATGTAGGAAGAGAGGGATGGGGGTGGAAGCTATTTTGTGCAACGCAGGTTAGTCGCGAGACAGAGCATGATGGGAATAGGATGCTAGGAAATGGGAGAGCCTTGTTACGTACACCTAGTCTCCGGGCGCGCAGTTGGGTGAAGATGACCCAGCCGGCACCGCCAACAATGGCGAGGACCAGGATGGCGATGACGATACCTCCAGCGGCTGACACCATGGTTGCGATTCAATTGCGACGATGCAAGGAAAGTGCGCTTGGCGTTGCGGGGGAAACTGCAGCGTTTCTCACCAGCAAGACGTCGATTCGGCAACGGCAATGGAAGAGTAGGTGATGTTGGTTGAAGGCGGGCGACGAATGATGGAGGTCCGGCTCATGGGAAGGCTGACGTGTGAGATGGACCAACCGTTAGCAGTGGTGGTGTTGGTGATTGGTGTGTTTCGCTGAGCCGCCTGTTCGTTTGGTCGCGGGAAGCTTTGGTTCTGGGCTGTGTGTGCGACACGGACACGGACGCCCGTTGGGAAACAAAGACGTAGATCGGGTACTTTGCTGAGTGAGAACCCGGTCCGGGAGAGGATGGGTAGAAAGCAGACGATACAGGGCAAGTAGAGAGGGGGAAGAGAGTGAAAGAGACGGTAGAGTGGAAAGTCCCGGTAACCTTCGCAGCAAAAGTATGATGAGATGAGGTGAGGTGAAGGTGGATTGAGAGGAAAGCAGACAAACCAGGCCCGGCGAAACCTTGTTTGATGAGGCAGCGTGCGCAGTGTGGTCCGGTGGTGGTGCAGGTGCAGGTGTCGCGCAAGACCAGGCAGGTGAGGTCAGCAAAGCAGTAGGTAGCCCCCAAGCTTTCAGCTTTACCTGAAGGTAAGGTAGCGTACGGATACTCCAAGGTACTCGGTAGTAGCCTGGCAAGAATGACCAACTCCAACAATGGTCGACCTTGCCTGAGCTAATTCGGCA